GCAAGCCAGGAGTGACAAAATATAGAAACACGCCTCAGACGCATGCACAAGACACCATGAGGAAGAATCGATCTCAGGTCCTGTGAATAGATTTTCCCAAATTTAAATTAAATAGATCCAAGATCGATTAAATCAATTTTTTTTACCCAGCTCTATTATGATTTCAAAACAAACTGATTCCTGTTTCCTCTCCTGGCCAAACAGCAGAACGTGTCCTTGATGCACCGGCGGCTGACGCAGAGGTGTTTGTGCACAACGCTGCCACTCGAGAGCGCCGACACAGGGAGTGAGACACAGCGGAGCGGGGGAGGCAGAGGTGGAGGAGGAGAGGAAATCCCTCGTCTCACCCACCCACCCCCTTTTCTCTCCTCTGGCGAATCCTCTGCCGCCGATAGGTAAAGCAGTGGAAGGCGGCGGGGCGCTCGCTTCCTGCCTGCCCATGTAAGGCGCGGGTTTCCGCTCTGTTGCCATGGCAGCAAACGGTTACCTCGCAGCCCGTGGCAACCGTCTCGGCTGCAGCCACGGGAAAAAAACGTGGACGCAAACGTTCACACACAAATATATGTTAACCCATACCTGCCGCCTACTCACAAATAAAAATACTACAAAGAGAGAGGGAGAGAGAGGAAAGAAAGGGCAGAAATAACTCACTCTACACACACTCACACTCACACCTCATCGGCTGAGCTGCTTCCTACACAAACTACACAAACTACACAAACTACAGCAGCGCAGCAGCAGAGCCGGCCCTCTGCAGCTGATGATTATCTGTTCATTGGACTCTAACGTCAGGTCGGACGGCGTGGGGAGGAGCCTCTACCTTGTTGAGGTGGAGCTGCTGCTGCTGGAACTGCTGCTTGTGCTTCTCCAGGAACTGCTGGTGCTGCTGCTGGACCACCAGCTGCTGCAGGGCCAGGGCCTGAGCGTGAGCCTGGGCGGCACTGCCCTGGGGCAGGGGGGCCGACTGGGTCCTCCCCAGGGGCCGGTGCTGCCGCTGCAGCTTGGCCATGGATGCTGAGGACATGGACAGACCGCTCACACCTGGAACACAAGAGCAGGAGGAGTTTATTGTAGAACCTAAWGAACCACAGATTACACTACATATAACAATGTAAACAAACACACACATGCTAAGTCTATTGATAAGCACCTTTTAAAAGACAAGAACGGATCCATGATTAGTTGTAACATTAGACTTTATTTAATAAACATATATTTTAACTGTAAAATAAAGACTGTAAAAATACTGTAGGCTGTTTAGTTTTTATCATTTTTAAACTAAAAGTTTCAAAATATACAGTATTACACAGATGGAGCAATTTTATTTACACGCAAAGCATTCTGGGTAAAAGATGATGTGGATAGGTCCTCAGTGTGAGCGAGCTATATCCACCCTGAAGGTTAATCTTGGACAATATCTGATGATCGACTCTTTTAAATGAAACCAGAGAGCGTTGACAGAGAGGAGAAGGTAGAAATGACTCAGCCTGTAACTGAAAATATGGATGAAGGACCTCAGTTTAGCTTGTTTGTCGCGCTAGCACCGAGCTAATACATATAAGGCAATATAGCATCAGCTCTAGCACAAAGGCTAACAGGCTAAGCTGAGGTTCTTCTTCCATGAAGCAGCTCTGTTGTCCTCCATCCATATTTTCAGTTACAGGCTGAGTCATTTCTACCTTCTCTCTGTCAACGCTCTCTGGTTTCATTTAAAAGAGTCGATCATCAGATATTGTCCAAGATTAACCTTCAGGGTAGATATAGCTCGTTAGCAGCTTCGCACCGATGACCTATCCACGTCATCATTTACCCAGAATGCTTTGTGTGTAAATAAAATGGCTCCGTTCGTGTTAAAATATATTTTTAAAAAATATAAAAACTAAACATCCTATATACAGTACTACTATATAATACTATATATACTATATATAGTATATATACTATATTATATAATACTAAACTGTATTTTTACAGTCTTTATTTTACAGTTAAAATAAATGTTTATCAAATAAAGTCTAATGTTAAAACTAATCAGGGATTCCTTTAAGAGAGCATCTGTGTTCATCAGTCTGTAAAACCAGTTGACTTGTCATTTTCTGTGCCTCTGCCATTGGACTTTATATTATATAATACTAAACTGTATTTTTACAGTCTTTATTTTACAGTTAAAATAAATGTTTATCAAATAAAGTCTAATGTTAAAACTAATCAGGGATTCCTTTAAGAGAGCATCTGTGTTCATCAGTCTGTAAAACCAGTTGACTTGTCATTTTCTGTGCCTCTGCCATTGGACTTTATAAACAATAAAATAACTTTAGCTCTGACAACTTTACAGATACTGAGCTAAAATCTGATGTGGTAGTAGCTGAGAGTCATTCACAACACACTCTGAGCATTCACACCTGGCATTTTTGGTCTGCTTTAAATGAACCAAAGTTCATTTACCCCAATGGTCCGGACCTTTTATGCAAGTGTGAGTACACTCAAGCAAACCCTGGTGCAGACCTAACAACTGGACAGAGACCCATTTGTTAGGTGGTCTCGGTCCGTTTCCAAACGAACTCCGGTGCGGTTCACTCCTGGTGTGAATACCAATAATTTGCGTGGACGTTCACAAAATCATTTAAATCCAACAATCATCRGACTCCACAGCCCTGAAGTCACTCACAGAAGAAGATGTGACATCACATGCAGCATGCTGTGTTTACAGAAGTATAAAAAAAGAAGTGAGTACAGCCTTCATTTCTGTTGTAGGTTTACACATTAATGCCTGTGTGTTATTGTGATGCGACAGCAACTTTACACTGTTATACAAGTTATACTCTGACTACTTTACATTGTATCAAAGTGTCATATCTGCAGGGATGTCCCACTGAAAGTGTGAGGGGTGTACTCACTTTAGTGAGATACTGTAAAAATAGATGCTGCAACAATAATTAACGTTACTATACCACTTTTAGTATATGTTGGTGTAAATTCTGGGTCGTCCAAAACATGACAAATCTAGAAAGTTTAAAAAAGATGAAGCAACTGGACTTCTGCTCTGTAGCTGAAGATGTGTGGATTTCCAAGCTTTAAGATCATGCTGGTATCAATATCTGGATAGATCCACCTACCTCTGTGATGTAACAGTCAAAATAAATACAACATGATCTTTCAGACAGCTTTGAAAAACATCAGCTATGTATCCGATTTGGTATATATACCAGAAAAAAGCACCTGGGTCACATTTGAAATAAAAATCAGATTCATACAGTTTAAACTTTCATTAAAAATCTATTATTGGTTATATATGGGCAACAATAATAATAATCAGATTTGAGTCACTTTTTAAACTCATGAAAGGTCGCCCTGTGACACAACAAGTGCAAATTTCTGAAGAGGACTAGATGCAAGATCCACCTGAAACTTTTTGAAAACCCATTTAAGCCAGAAGTCGTGATTAATAATGGCTCCACTTCAGTGGTCAGTTCAGATCCAACCACGACCATCAAAATAAACAACACTGAATGTGAACGCAATGCACCGTTCCTCAAACTGAAGTGTTAGTGTTAGTGTTCCCTGATTCGTTCTCACTGTTGTTGAACCTAAGATTAGTTAGCAGATGCATTTGTGAACCGAACGAACAGAACCATCTGTGCTGCCACACTGAGAGTCTTCCATTGTGCTCAGAGGAGTCGAAACCCATTRTAGACTGTTTACAGAGCTGCGAAGGAGGGAGACGTGTGAGAAAACCAGACCATGTTTGAGCCTGGTCAGTGATCTGAGAACTTTCTGAAGCACAGATGCAGAAATGACAGGAAATTAAGTTCGAGGTAATTTTTTTTATGAYTTGTCTCGTGTTGAGACACTGAAAAGTCACCTTCTGCTCTTGTCCTGCTGGTGGGYGTGTAAATATCCTTGTGTGTGTATTTTTTTTAATGCGTGGACACACACATGCGTGCGTCTGTATGTGCGTCACTGCTCTTTCAGCGCTAATGCCCCGCTGAAAATAGAAGCGATGTTTTTGTCAGTGAATGAGCTGATGGGAAAGGGCACACAATGCACCCATGTCACACTTTCATAGCTGACATATGAAAGGAGCTCATTAGTTTGAGCTAATGAATGGACGTCTGTCAGTGTGGGGGTGGGGGGTGGGGGGTGAGTAACACACATCTATCAATGTTGCATTTGCCAATTTCCTATCATTTGTCTAATTCTGTGAGTACTGAATCAGCATTCATGCAACTGTTTTTATCTTTTTATTTTCCTGTATATTTTTGGAAACTAACTGATTCTGCTTACGTTGTGCTATTTTAGTCATCCATAAAGCCCAACGTTCAGCTCAGTCAGGAGATGAGTTTTGTTTTAGTAACTTTTATATTTTTAAGAATATTTATAAATAAATATTTTCTTATTGAATTATACTGAGATTTCTTTAATTCCTTCAAAACATTGTTCTCTTTGAAATCTGCTCATGCAAACTTGTCTTCCTCTACTACTTTTAGCTACACTCTGCTTCCTTTAGTGAGCTTTTTGCTACTCTTAGCTTTTTGAAAATTTTACTTTTGACACCGAGCTAGCATTTTGCTACTTTTAGCTAGATGATACTTTGAGCCTTGAGTTAGTGTTTTGGTACTTCAACTTTTTGCTAGCCTTTTGAGCCTTTAAACTACCTACTAGTTCTCAAGCTACTATCTACCATTCTGCTACTTTTTGCTTTAACTGAGCCTTTTGGTACTTTTAATTTAGTTACTGACCTAGCATTTTGCTACTTTTGGCTAGCTAAATACTTTGAGCCTTGAACTAGTGTTTTGGTAATTACGGTAAGCATTTAGTATTTTGATACTTGAAACTAGCCTTTGGCAGTGTTTACCTTCGAGCTAGCATTTGCTACTTTAGCTAACTAAGTACTTTGAGCCTTTAGTTAATATTTTGCAACTTTAGCTTTTAGCTAGCGTTTTGATACTTTTAGTTATCATTCCTTTT